AAAAAAAAACTTTACATTTTTTGCTGAATACACATCCTCAAAAGAAAGTGTTATGCATAATGGTTAAGACCGCAATCTCAGATCATACTGCTTGAGTATCAATCCAGGTTTTGCTACTTGTTTGCTGTGCATCTTTAGGAAAGTTATAATCCCTCAGTGCCTCATTTTGCTCAGCTATAAAATAGGAATAATGCTACTATTTACCTCACATACTGGCTGGAGGATTGAATGAGATATTAACGGTGCCCAGACCAGTGGATACTCTTTTAGTGTTAGTAGTTTGTATTGGTCATCATGATTACTAGTCATTTTTAGGATATTTAGAGATCATTTGGAAAACTGGACTTAGAAGTCACTTTAAATAGAGAGGTTGGGCCAGTGGATTTTACTGGAACAAAAGGGCCATATATAACTAATAAGAAGATGAAGTAATATACTTAGGCACCAGCTTTAAGAGCCTGTAAAAGTAGGAAAAAACTAACATTTCTCTAATTTCAGCAAGCACTAATGATTTTTTAGGTGTCTTTGATGTGATTTTTAGTCCTAAGTTTTTTTGCTTAAGAAAGCTTCTGCACGAACCCATAAGCAGATAGATTGTTCTAATCTTGTTTATTGTTTGCCTCTGATTTCTTTCTTAAAAAAATTTTTTTTTATTAAAGAAGACTGGGTCTCTTTCTTAAATAGAGAAGGGCTACAATTAAGAGTTGAATTAGCTCCTTGTACAACAAGAGGTCCACTTGTAGTCCAAGCAGCCTTCAGATGATATTGTCCAAATTCCCTTTGTTAAAGAATGAGTAACTCTTTTGCCCAGAAGACAAAGGGTAAAAGAAATCAAAGCATTTTTAGCCATTAGCTCTCATAACTAGCAAATTCTGCCTTACTTATGAATATTAGTTTTTTTATCATAGAAACTTTGAGTCTGAGGCTACTGGCAAAGTCTCTTAGAATGGTTCTAGAAAGCAGCTTGGGAACCACTCGGGGAGATAGTCATTTTCCTCTAAGTGATCTGTTTTCTCTGAATAACTGTGGTGCCAAGCCAGGACCTTGCAAAGAAATGGATACTGTGGTTGTCCCATGCAGCTCTGCCAACCTTCCGACCACTATGGTATATCTAGAATGTCTTCCTGGAAACCATTCTATGAGCTCAGGCTTTTGACACTGTGTGACGGACAATCCTATAATGCCAAAGGCTCTTCCCTGCACCACGCATGGATCTTTAGAAATGGGTGGTCATGAGGTACAGATTTCTCATTTGACCCCAGGACATTATACTGCAAGATTCATCAGGAAATAGATATCTGAAACACGAGTTCTCCCAGTAGATTACCTTAGTGGGGGAAGTGACCTTATCCACAGACTGCTTTTCCCAGAGGTTCCGCTTGCCAGATACGTCTCCTGGCCTCAAGTCCTAATGAAGAGAAAGTAGAGAGAATGAATAGGTGGCAATTTTCCAGATTTAAATGAATCAACACATTGACTTCATCTGTTTGGATCAGTTTGCTGTTTAATACACTTTATTCCAGTGATCTGAGTGGGTAGAATTGAAAGGACCACTGGCTGTTATTTGACTTTATAGACCTTGACCTGTCTTGGGATATGAGAATGGACTGGAGCTACATACAGCACTTGGATCCTTGTCCATCACCAAGGATATGCTGTTTATTGAACAGTGAAATTGGAGTATAAGTATTTAAAGTAATATAGCCTATTTTTAACTTTTTTGAATTTTAATTTTTGGGGGTACTGGGGATATCCCTGGCTCTTTTTTATTTTTTATTTTGAGATAGAGTCTTGCTAAATTGGGATGGGCTAAAACTTGGGATCCTTCTGCCTCAGCCTCCTAGAGTGCTGTGATTACCGGTGTGGGCCACCACACTCAGCTACTTTCTACATTCTTGGAAGTAAATGATTCACTTGAGATTTTAAAAAGATCCCACCCTTACAGAACAGCTTCCTTTCAGTCTCTCCTTGCCAAGGGGCCCCTCTGCTTTTCTTGCCTGAGACCTTTTTCTGGCTATGGATGTCTATGTTGCCTGCCTGGGAGGTGGTCTGGAAGTGCAGAGTTCACATCCCAGGAGCAGCCTCAGACACTGACTAGTGAGCACTGGCTCAGACTGCTTTTCAGTGAGCCCAGAGAGGCTCACTTGGGCCCCAGGGAGGGTTGCCCTGGAGCACGTGCTCTCTTATGACTTCCACAGTGGGATTATGTTTTAACAGCCCATGTGGTGACCTGCTAAATAACATGTTCTATATTGGTTGCTTTTGTCTCCCCCTTCTCCCTGTCATGTTTTTTCTTTCACCTGTCAAATAAATCCTTTGGCCCTGGGACCACTGGCTTGGTCTAGGCAGCCCAAACAAAGACGTTTCTCCAACTGTACTTTCCTCACACTAAAATCATTTTGTGTATCCTGAGGGCACGTGAGTATTTCAGCAGTGGATCAGCAGAAACTACTCTATCACAGATTGAGCTGAGGGTTGATGATGTATGTAGGAACATGTGAGAATCTTGGGAAGGAAACACTAAAATACAGCCCATACCTTTGAGTCTATATTTACTAGCTCTGTTACATAGCTTTGAGTCTTTATTTACTAGCTCATAACTAATTTCATTTGGGGAGGATCCAAATTCATGTTTCCATTTACTTTTCTTCCAGCATTTGCTTATACTAGTACTTGGCAAAAGGTAGTGTGTAGAAAATAAATATGCTTTACTGAAATAGTACTGTGGGTTTTGGCAAACTTTTTTTCATTTAGAAAAGTAAAGCTACTAGCAATCACACTTATCCCTAGATACCCGTCTAAGTGGATATATTTCTAATACACAGCATCGAGTCTTCAACACTGAAAATGTACTGTTAAGCATTTTGAGCACTGAATGTTGAAGCATTTCAGATTTGCCTTAATCTTATTGAGATTTTGGATTTCCGCTGTGGCGTGAATTTCTGATATTCTGTTAGAGAGTTACACTTATTTAGTTTGGAAACATTAGGCAACAAATCAGACTTTTTTTTAAAAAAGAATTCCATTACATCTGCCAATGAAAGTTGCCAAATTGTCTAGAGTCTGTTTGACAATTATGGAAATTATAATTAGGAACATGCTGATGGAAGCTCTGGGAAGTGGATATAATCACTTTATTTATTTGACTTGTATGAGACTGATATTTTTCTTTTATATGAATGTTCTTCTACTTAAGAAAATGGATTGCATGTCTCTTAAATTCTGCTGATGAATATTTCAAGATTACTTAGAGAATTTAAAGAGTCATCTTTAAGAAAATAGTAACATCTTTAAATCAAAAGGGAAATATAAACAGAATTACCTGACTAGACTACATTTTAGAAAAAGACCCACTCCGGAAGAAGAGGGAGAAATGAAGGCAGGAGAAGCAGGTTTCCAATCAACCAGAGACCAAAGAATGAGGAAGAGAAGCCAGCTGAGAAAGATATTGTTGGGTTTTTTTAAACAAAAAGAAAGACAAATTAGCTTTTAACTGCTATATAACATGTAGTTTAGATACAAATAATAGACAAAACCAGTTAAAACAGACAGACTCAGAATGAGTTCCAGTTACAAAGTTGTATTGAAAGCCTATAAATTCTCTACACAAATAGCTTAATGTTCCAGTAAGAGATCCCAGTGTAGATCAATATTAACTTTTAAATAACTCATATGATATTGGTTGACAAACTACTTTGAGCACTTAAATTCTTAGCATCTGTGAAAATGATTACTTAACTACTAGCAGAGGATGGTTTTTCTCTTCATTGAATTTGGGAACTCAACCCTTTAAATCCCATGAACTAGTCTTTTCCCCTTTCTTAGGATTCTAATGGGTGAGGCGTGATTGTTGAATAAATATCTCTCTGATTTTGTTCAAATGGTCATATGCCACACCTCTGCAAAAGCAAACCTAATGTCAGGAACACACGCAGCATGTAGGATATATTGTTTCTGATCCCAAATCAGGAGGCACTTGGGGGCCCTCCCAATTGCTGCTGTATTATGGAAATCTCTGACATTCCAGGCTTTTACTCTGGTCGGGGTATGATACTCTGATGCCTGCCATGAAGGACCATGTTGGAGACCACATGCCTGAAGAGACTTGGGGTAAGAAAACCAGAAAAAGAGAATCAAGGAATCCCAGAGTGCCTCCCTTCACACTCAAAAACGTTTGCAAATTTTAATTTTGAAAAGGAAAATAAAGCACAATATCATGGGCCAAGCTACACAGATCTTAGCTACAGGCCACCAGTGTGAAACCCCATGGGTGAGAGCTAAGATCCTTATTTGCCTATCTTTCTAATGTCCCTTCCTTAGACTCCTTGTCTGCCAACCTTTACGTATCAGCAGTAGCCTTTCAGCCACTTCCACACTGATGAAAATTCATCTCTTTTTTTTGCTAGACCCTTAGAATAAATCATGTGCCTGCCTTGCTGAGCTTCAAGTCACACTTTTTCCCAAACAGACTTCTATGTTGCTAAGTCTAAAATACAGACCGCTACAGCCACTGGAATGTGCACAGAACTTTGAAGTGGCTTACTCATTTTCATCTATGACATCGATGACATACTGCTTTCTCCTGATCTGGTCCATACTCAGGAAGCTACACTAGTCTCACTAATTTGCCCTTGCTGGCCTCAGACTCACAATCCTCCTGCTTTAGGCTCCTGAATAGTCAGGATTATAGACATGTGCTGCCATGCTGGTTCTATGATTTCTTGAACTTGTATTGTATGTATTTTGTTGGGAAGAGAGACCTTATATTTCATTAGGTTTTCAAAGGGGTCCATCATTCAGAAAGTTTAGTGATCACTGGTCTGGAGGCATGATTCTATAAACTAATATAGTTTTTTTTTTTTTTTTTT